GATTGCATTGGTTTTTTTTTTTCAAACACCTTTCTGACCTTTTAGATCCGCACTGTCCACAAACTCCATGCAAATCATGTGTAAGTCGACATATCGTGCTTCAGTGCAAATATTTTATGTTGAAACTGTGAATTTAATTTTTCGTTTTGCATGGATGATTCCACTGTCTAGATGATGAGACTTTGCGACATCACTCAACTTACAGGGCTTATCAAATGTAGTGTCGGGTGCACTAGCATCTCCACTCCCGCGCGGGACTCTGCGCCTCTTCCGCCAACATGCTCTCCAATCATGTCCAGTCGTTTAAGGCTCCGCTTTTCCCAGCTCGAGTGGGAAGGTGGTCAGAGAGCATGCCCGCGATGAGATGCAAAGTTCAGGCGAAGCGGCCGCGCGAAAGCGGAGATGCTGGCGCACCCGACACTGCATTTGATAAGCGTTGTATTTGTTCCGTGATTGTTATTAAGGAATACAAGATAACCAAACGCACTTCTTCAGGTGACCTAGCGATTTTGTTCGTTGATGTTTGCTTATAGTTAAGTTGTAGCACTGTATGTGGCGTGTTCAGCTAATGCTTATCACATGTATTGTAGAAGTAAAACTGGAATAGCGTGTTTTTGAATGTGCTTGATTTGAGGTAAATGTGCGTGTGTCCAAATATGGCGTATGGATCAGTAGAGATGTGGACTCGGCTACAGTTGATCGAATACCTCTTGTGAATATCGTGTTTTCTGTGGCTTACAATGACGGTGATAACAGGTATGAAGAGAACCTTGAATTTGATGTGATCGTTCAAAATTCGATTTCAGATTCAACGTGGCAATGATAGTGAAAGCTCGTCAGTATGAACCTGAGTACAAGTGCTACGTATTCCAATGTCGCTCCATGCGAGAAGCAGACGAGTTTCTGAGGAAAATCGACCAGCTGTTCAATTCAGTTGTAGAATCCATCGAATGTTGCGAGACAGATGAGTGTGAATGGGTTGATGTATAGTGTATCACTGCAATAAAATTTCCCTTAGAATGCGCAAATAGTGCCTAGGTCAACCTTGTCATATCGTGGTTTCGTGCAATTTTTATGGTATTGGAATAAAGCTTGTATAGATGGTATGGTATAAATCTATTCGGCCTGTGGTGCTGGCCGCTTCTGCACTAGCCTATGGTGCCAACAAAGCAGCATTATTCGACGATGGAGGCAAGAATGAACGACGTCCCTACGATGCAGTGCTTACCATGGAAGAGAAAAGAAAGAAAGCAAAACAAGCGATAAAACGACAAATGGTGAATTTTTGTTTGGTTGTCTAGGAGAGGAGACAGGAGAGTAGGAGTAGGAGAGGAGGAGAGTTCTGCAACAAATGAAACAGGTGTTAGGGTATATCAGAGGGTGGGGTTTACTCTGCTAATTTCACAGCAAATTACTCGTTTTTTTCACTCAATCCTTTGGAAGTGTATGTCAAGAGGAGCGATTCTTATTGCCAGC